CCTGACACAGCCCTAGCTGTTGCAGCCATTTAGGGAGTGAACCAGTAGATGGAAGATTCTCTCTGTCTCTCTCTCTCTTTCTGTCTTTCAAATAAATAAATAAATATTTAAGAAAAAAAAAAAGCCTTGTTTATCCATTGCAGGAAGCTGCATGACACTCCACTTGTGGTTGCTTGGGACTTCTTGATAACTTGTTATGTTTTCCATCACTCCTCAGAACTCAGTTCAAGTTCCTCAAGCTAACCTAGCAGCTCCCCAGATGTCCAAATATATATATATATATATATATATTCTTAAAGTTGGCACAGCTCAGTGGGTTAAGCCAGTGCCAGCAACACTGGCATTCCATATGGGCACCGGTTCAATTTCTGGTTGCTCCACTTCTGATCCAGCTCCCTGCTAATTTGCTTAGGAAGGCAGTGGAAGATGGCCCAATCACATGGTGTTTCAAGCTCCTGGCTTTAGCCTGGCCAAGCCCTAGCTTTTGGGGCCATTTGGGAACAAGTGGATGAAGATATCTCTTTCTCTTTCCCTCTGTAATGCTGCCTTTCAAATAAATAAATAAATCTTTTTTTAAAGTTACATTTTTAAAAAAGATTTATTTATTTGAAAGAGTTAGAGAGAAAGGTAAAGACAGAGAGAGGTCTTCCATCCGCTGGCTCACTCCTCAGATGGCTGCAACGGCCAGAGCTGAGACGATCTGAAGCCAGGAGCCAGGAGCGTCCTCTGGGTCTCCCACGTGGGTGCAGGGGCCCAAGGACCTAGGCCATCTTTCACTGCCTTCCCAGGCCACAGCAGAGAGATGGATAGGAAGAGGAGCAATCAGGACTAGAACCGGTGCCCATATGGGATGTTGGCGCTTTAGGCCAGGGCTTTAACTCGCTGCGCCACAGCACTGGCCCCAAAAGTTACCTTCTTAATTTAGAAGAATTACCATCAACCTAAATTTGAGTTGAGGAAAATGGGTAAATATATGATAATATAATCACATAATGGATTATTATAGAGCAGTAAAAATAAACAATATCAACTCAAAGCAATGTGGTTGAAACTTTGAAAAGCCACCAAAAGACTACTTGATTTATTTACAATTTTTATTAGGTATGTGATGAAAATCACTTTTTAAAAAAGATTTATTTAATGGCCAGGACTGGGCCAAGCTGAAGCTAGGAGCCCAGAGCTTCTTCTGGGTCTCCCAGGTGGGTGCAGGGGCCCAAGGACTTGGGCCATCTTCTACTGCTTTTCCCAGGCCATTAGCAGGGAACTGGATGGGAAGTGGAGCACCCAGGACTTGAACTGGCACCTATATGAGATGCTGGCATCGAATGTGTAGGTTTATCCTGCTATGTCACAATGCTGGCCCCAAAAATCACATTGTTTTTTAACTTTAATTATAAAAATAATTTTTAAAAAGTAGGCTGAAGGGCACAAGTCCTCACAGAATATTACTCAGATTCAACATTAGCATTGCCATATTTATCTAATCTGCCTTTTTTTCTTGGTACAGTATTTTTATGCAAATCCCATATATGTAAATTTAGACATTTTCTTACATAGCAACAGAACTGTGACCTCATTAACAAAATTAACAGCAATTCTTTGGAATTATTTCAGTTCATAATCCAATCTCTACAATTGTTTCAGAAAATGACTTTTCTATTTAAAATGTTTATTTTATTTATTTGGAAGGCAGAAGAGAGAGAGAGAGAGATCTTCCATCTGCTGGTTCACTTCCTAAATGGCTGCAACAGCCAAGGTTGGGCCAGACCAAAGCCAAGAGCCCAGAACTCCATGGGGGTCTCTCATATGGGTGTCAGGAACCCAGTTACCTGGACCATCATCTGCTGCCTTCCCTGCCAGATTAACAGAAAACTGGATGGGAAGAGGAGGAGCCAGGACTTGAACTGGCACTCTGATACGGGATGTGAACATCCCAAGTGGTAGCTTAAGCTGCTGTGTTACAGGGCCTGCCTCTGAGTAGGTTTTTGAAAAGGATAAAGTAAAATTTATGTCTATCTGCACTGACAAGGCATATGAGGAATACTGAATGAAAAAAGTAGGCAACTGAACAGTGAATATAGGATGAGTTTTATTATAAAAATGTATGCATTTTTTAATCTTTTTTTTTTTTTTTTTGACAGAGTTAGACAGTGAGAGAAAGAGACAGAGAGAAAGGTCTTCCTTTTGCCGTTGGTTCACCCTCCAAAGGCCGCCGCGGCTGGCACGCTGCGGCCAGCGCACCGCACTGATCCGAAACCAGGAGCCAGGTGCTTCCTCCTGGTCTCCCATGTGGGTGCAGGGCCCAAGGACCTGGACCATCCTCCACTGCACTCCCGGGCCACAGCAGAGAGCTGGACTGGAATAGGAGCAACTGGGACAGAATCCGGCGCCCCAACTGGGACTAGAACCCCGGGTGCCGGCGCTGCAGGTGGAGGATTAGCCTACTGAGCCGCGGTGCCAGCCAAAAATGTATGTTTTTAATGTATTAAAAATAGGATAGAGGAGCGGGTGCTGTGGTGCAGTGGTTTAAATTCTGCTTTGAATGCCCTGGGGGGCAGTGGATGATGGTTCAAGTAGTACTCGGATCCCTGCCAGATGCATGGGAAACCCAAATGGAATTCCTGGCTCCTGGCTTTGGCCTTGCATAGCCATGGCTGTTGTGGACATTTAAGGAATGAACCAGTGGATAGAAGACCTCTCCTCTCCTCTCTCTCTCTCTCTGCCTTTCAAATAAATAAAAATCAGTAAACTTTAAAAAATGGCTATATGGGGCAGGCCTTGTGGCATAGGTTAAACTGCCACTTGGGGCCATGACTTCTCATATCCCAGTGCTTTGTTTGAGTCCTGGCTACACCAATCCAGCTTCCTGCTAATGTACCTGGGAAGCAGCAGATAATGGCCCAGCTAGTTGGGTTCCTACCACTCATATGGGAGACCCAGATAGAGTTCCTGGCTCCTGCCTTTGTCCTGGCCCAGCCATGACTATTGCCAAAATGTGGAGAGTAAACCAGTGGATGGAATATTTCTCCTTCTCTGTCATTCTAGCTTATGTATTATTTGAAAGTCAGAGTTACAGAAAGAGAGGGAGAGACAAAGGGAGAGACAAAGATCTTCCATCTGCTGGTTCAATCCCCAAATGGCTGCAAGGGCCAAGGCTGGGCCATGCTGAAGCTAGGAGTCAGGAAAATTCATTCAGGTCTCCCATGCGGGCACAGGGCCCAAGCACTTGGACCATCTTCCATTGCTTTTCCCAGGCCATCAGCAGGGAGCTAGATTGAAAGAGGAGCAGCTGAGACTAGAACCAGGGCCCATATAGGATGCCAGCACTGCAGGTGATGGCTTTACCCGCTATGCCATAGCACTGGCTCCTCAGATGAATCTTAAAAATAAATAAATAAATAAATAAGTGGAGGAACAAAATAGAGTATATAACAACAGAATACTATTTGGCAGCAAAAAATACAGTACTGACATATGTTAAAATATTGATGAACCTTGAAAATATTATACTCATGCCAAGAAGCCAGATACAAAGGACACCTGCTGTAGGATTTCATTTATTTGAAATGCCCAGGACATGCAAATCTACAGAGACAAAAAGTAGATGAGTGGTTGCCCAGGGCTGGCAGGTTGGGGAGAAATTTTGAGTGACTGCTAATGGTAATGGGGTTTCTTTTTTGGGGCAATGAAAGCATTCTAAAGTTATTTGTGGTGACGGCTGCACAACCCAGTGAATACACTAACACTCATTCAACTGTACAGTTTAAATGGCTGGATTATAAAGTCAAGCTGCCAGGGCTTTATTTATTTATTTTGTAATGGCACACATGGGGGCAGGTGTTCAGCCCCAGTGGTTATGAGGCTGGTGAGGACACCTGGGTGCCTTATCCGGGGCTCTAGCTTCTTGCTAATATAAAGCCAGAATCAGGCTCCTCTGATTAAAAACAAGGCAGGGGCTAATGCTGTGGCCCAACGGGTTAAGCTGCAGCCTGCATGTGCCTGCATCCTATATGGGCACTGGTTCGAATCCCAGCTGTTCCACTTGCAATTCAGCATCCCTGCTGATGCACCTAGGATAGCAGCAGCAGATGGCCCAAGTGCTCGGGCCCCTGCACCCACGTGGGAGACCCAGATGAAGCTCCTGGCTTCAGCCTGGTCCATCCGTGGTCACTGTGGCTGTTTGGGAAGTGAACCAGTGGATGGAAGAGCTCTCTCAGTAATTCTCACTTTCAAATAAATAAATATTAAAAAAAAAAAAAAAACTCAAAGCAACAGGGGCCCAGATTGTGGTGCAGCAGTTCAAGTCCCAGCTGATCCACTTCAGATCCAGCTCCTTGCTAATACCCCTGGGAAAGCAGAAGAGGACCCAAGTACTTGGCCATCTGTCACCCACGTAGCAGACCTGGACGAAGTTTCAAGCTCCTGTCTTCTGCCCGGCCCACCCGGGGCATTTCTGCCATTTGGGGACACTGAGCCAGTGGATGGAAGATCTCTCTGTCTCTGTCACTCTTCCCTTCAAAGCAAATAAACAAGTAAATCTTAAAAAAAAAAAAAAAAAAAAAAAAAAAAGCCCCAAACCAGCACAGGCGTTCAGTGGAGTAGGTGAGTATGCTTTGGAAGGCACATTCCGTATGGGGCTGAGTGTTGGCTCCTCTTTTAGATGCAGCTTCCTGCTACTGGGCACCTTGGAAGCAGCTCAAGTACTTGGGTTCCTGCCACCCACGTGGCTCTTGTGGCCACTTGGGCAGTGAACCAGTCTTTGCGTTTCAAATAAATTTTTAAAAATAAAATTTTTAAAAAGGGAGAAAGTTCCAAGCTCCTTCCACTCTCCCTTTCCTGGCTACTACCCCTACCGCAGTCTCGTCCTGGTCGTGGGAACCACACCCTCACCTGGGGTCCCTGCCCCTCCTCCTGGCCGGAGTCCAGAGACTGCCCCAGCCAGCGTCATCGTTCCACACGCAGGGGTCATGCCCCCCTCGCCCGGGGTCACAGCCCCTCCCGGGGTGGGGGGTGGGGGCGAGGGAGGTGTCACCGGCCATAGGCGGCGGCCCCACTGTCACACGCGATGCTCTCTCCGTCCGCAGGCCGGGGTCCGGGTTACCAGCCCAGGAGTTCCGGGCCCCTCCCCCGAGGCCGGTGGCCCCTCCCCCCGAGCCATGGTGGCCGCCCCGGGGGCGCCAGGTCCTAGCCCGGACTCCCAGGAGGCCGCGTCCGCAGTCCCGGCGCCCGAGGCGCCCGCGCCGACCGCGTCGCCTTCGCGGGAGGCCCCGGCCGGCTCTGAACCCTCGCCGTCCCCGCCGCCCCTCCAGCTGCTGCCGCCGCCGCCCGCGAGCCCGGGGGCCGGGAGGCCGCCGCTGCGCCTGGTCGGGTGGGGCGGGATGGCGGCCGCCGAGTGGCTGGGGGCCGGCCTGGCCCGGGTGCTCTTCTACCCGACGCTGCTCTACACGGTGTTCCGCGGCAAGATGCCGGGCCGGGGGCACCGGGACTGGTACCACCGCATCGACCCCACGGTGCTGCTGGGCGCGCTGCCGCTGCGCAGCATGACGCTCCAGGTGAGCCGGGCCGGGCGGCGGGCCCGGGAGCGGCCCGGGCGGCCCTCGCTGAGCTCCCCCTTTGCCTCGGCAGCTGGTCCAGGACGAGAACGTGCGCGGGGTGATCACCATGAACGAGGAGTACGAGACGAGGTTTCTGTGCAACTCGTCCGAGGTGAGGGGGTCGCGGCCTGCGGGGAGGAGCTGGGGCGGGGCGTCCGCCGGCCTCGCCCTCCGCCGTGGGCCCGGCTGAGCTGGTGTAGCCGGGACCGTGCACAGAGACGCGGGTGCCCCGCTTCCGCTCCGCCAGGTTTAAATGGTCGCAGCGGGAGGTACGATAGGAAGTCCCCGTGAAGGGGACTTGAAAGAAGACAAAGTCTGATCACTCTTTTGTACACAAATATATTGTTTTAAAAAATTATTTATCTGAAAGGCAGAATTACAGGGAGAGGAAAGACAGAGGTCTTCCACCTGCTGGTTCACCCCCTCCATGGCTGCAGCGGCTGAGGCTGGGCCAGCAGGAAGCCAGGAGTCTGGAACTGCATCCGGGTCTCCCACGTGGGTGCAGGGGCCTAAGGACTTGGGACACTTTCCACTGCTTTCCCAGGCCATAGCAGGGAGCTGGGTGGGAAGGGAAGCAGCCGGGACTTGAACCCCTGCTCATACGGGATGCTGGCAGTACAGGTGGAGGCTTAACCTGGCTCCCACAAATATTCTTAATTTCGGTACCTAAAATTGAAAGGCAATTTTTGTGTGTCTTGCTAATTTCCTTCATTGATGCAGCACTTTTTAGCCACTAAGTATGTGTCAGGCACTGTGTTAGGCACTCAATATCAAGTCCCTGCCAACTTTTAAGAGGACACACACCACCCCATTACATACTCTAAATTTATCATAAAACTATGCATTGAAAAAACTGTAAAGAATTTATTGACTGATTTGGTGGAATTAAGTTATAGATCCTGGTGGAACTCCAAATTACTGTTATAACAAAATTCAGGCCTAAAATATACTTTTCATTAAATGTGACTGCCTGTTTGTGGAACCTCCCACAGTGGTAATTAAATGTTGCCCTATCATTAGAGTGTTTGACATCTACTAGCAATAAACAATTATCATAGCCTGATGAAGATGTAATATTTCAACCTGCAGATTTTTTTTTCATACTTTAAAAATACTTGTAGCTGGGGCTGGTGTCGTAGCACAGTGGGTTAAAGCCCAGGCCTGAAGCGCCTGGCGCCTGACTTCGGATCAGCTCAGCTCTGGCCATTGCAGTCATTTGGGCGAGTGAACCAGTGGAGGGAAGACTTCTGTCTCTCTCTATAAATTTTTCAAATAAATAAATCTTAAAAATAAAAAATGCTATTCCTGTTTACTACCATGTGCTCCCTCATAAAGTTTTTTTTTTTTTTTTTTTAAGGAGACTTATGGAAAGAACTATAAAGCACTAGCTAAATATAATACCCCAGAGTTTGTGGTGTGGCACAGCATGTTAAGCCACCACCTGCAATGCTGGCTTCCCAAATGAGTGCCGGTTTGAGTCCTGGCTGTTCCACTTCCAATCCAGCTCTTTTTCTTTTTTTTTTTTTTTTTTTTTTTTTTTTCGAACAGGCAAGAGGTGGGCAGTGAGAGAGAGAGACAGAGAGAAAGGTCTTCCTTTTGCCGTTGGTTCACCCTCCAATGGCCGCCGCGGTGCCGGCCTACAAATAAATAAATCTTTAAAAATATGTGTATAATGCCTCAACCCTGCATCATTCCCTCCACAAGTGCTAAGATTATGCAAAAAAACATGTTCACATTCTTGTAGGTGGATTTTACAGATGTAGTGCTTTGAGGCTAAAGATTCAAGTGATGCTTTAAGAATACTTGAAATCTTAAATTTTTAAAAATATTTATATGTTTATATTTGAAAGGCAGAGATACAGAGACAAAAGGAGAGAGAGAGGCCGGCGTCACGGCTCAATAGGCTAATCCTCTGCCTAGCGGCACCGGCACACCAGGTTCTAGTCCTGGTCGGGGCACTGGATTCTTTCCCGGTTGCCCCTCTTCCAGGCCAGCTCTCTGCTGTGGCCAGGGAATGCAGTGGAGGGTGGCCCAAGTGCTTGGGCCCTGCTCCCGCATGGGAGACCAGGAGAAGCATCTGGCTCCTGTGGTGGCCATTGGAGGGTGAACCAACGGCAAAGGAAGACCTTTCTCTCTGTCTCTCTCTCTCTCACTATCCACTCGCCTGTCAAAAAAAAAAAAAAAAAAAAAGGAGGGAGAGATCTCCCATCTACTGGTTCACTCCCCAAGTGGCCAAAATGGCCAGTGCTGGGCCAGACTGGAGCCAGGAGCCAGGAGCTTCTTCCTGGTCTCCCATGTGGGCACAGGGGCTCAAGGACTTGGGCCATCTTCCACTGCTTTCCCAGGCGCATTAGCAGAGAGCTGGATCAGAAGTGGAGCATCTGGGACTTGAACCAGCACCCACCAGCACTGCAGGTGGAGGTTTAGCCATCTACGCCACAGCACCAGCTCCTTGACTTAGTTTTAACTCAGCAACAAATCTGTTTTCGATGAAGTACCAACCATGGAGTCAGCCATTTTAAAGATGCGTATGGGAAAAGTTTCCTTTTTAGAAAACAGGAAACAACATATTCACATTGTAGGAAACTGATTCACTCCCAAATTGCTTTGCTGCCTTTTTTTTTTTTTTTTGACAGGCTGAGTGGACAGTGAGAGAGAGAGAGACAGAGAGACAGGTCTTCCTTTTGCCGTTGGTTCACCCCCCAATGGCTGCCGTGGCCGGTGCACCGCGCTGATCCGATGGCAGGAGCCAGGAGCCAGGTGCTTCTCCTGGTCTCCCATGGGGTGCAGGGCCCAAGCACCTGGGCCGTCCTCCACTGCACTCCCTGGCCACAGCAGAGAGCTGGCCTGGAAGAGGGGCAACCGGGACAGAATCCAGCGCCCCGACCGGGACTAGAACCCGGTGTGCCGGCGCCGCTAGGCGGAGGATTAGCCTAGTGAGCCGCAGTGCCGGCCCGCTTTGCTGCCTTTTGAGAGCCCCTCTTCATCCCGCCTACATTTGGTTTTCTCTCCATTCTTTCTTTATGTGCTGCACCTGGTTCCAGGAGTGGAAGAAGTTCGGAGTCGAGCAGCTGCGGCTCAGCACAGTGGACATGACCGGGATCCCCACCTTGGCTAACCTCAAAAAAGGAGTCCAGTTTGCTCTCAAATACCAGGCTCTGGGCCAGTGTGTCTACGTGCATTGTAAGGCCGGTCGCTCCAGAAGTGCCACTATGGTGGCAGCGTATCTGATTCAGGTAGGAAAGGCCCTTCTGCACTGGTCCCATTTGTGGCAGGTTTCCAGAGCTTCCACCGCATGCGCTACTGCTGGGCCTTGCGAGAAGGAGCCACATTCCCAATTTCAGGCTCTCGGGAGGCAGTGTGGTATTGTGGGAAGCACCTGAACTGTGTGAGAGGCTGTCGTCCAAACAGGCAAAAGTGTGTTCTCCTCGCTGATGCTTTTCCTCAAAGTAAACGCGATACGAAGCCCAAGTGAGACAAAGTACATCAAGTTTTGGCCTAGAGCAGGCGTTCAAAAAAATGGAGTTTGGGCACATATTTAGCCTAGCAGTTAAGATGCCTGTGTCTCATATCACAATATCTTGGTTCCATACCCAGCTCTGGCTCCTGACTTCACCACCTTCTTCCTGATGTGTTCCCTGGGAGGCAGCCGTGATGGCTCAAACAATTGGGTTTTTGGCACCTGGTGGGAGACCTGGATTGAGTTCCTGGCTTATCCTCCACCAGGCTCAGTCCTTGCTGTTGTGGGCATTTGGGAAGTGAACCTGCCAATGAAAACTCTATATCTTGCTCTATCTCCGTCTCTGCCTCACAAATAGATATATTTTTTAAAGATTTATTTATTTTAAAGACACAGTTGCAGAGAAAGAGTGATATCTTCCATCCTCTGATTCACTCCCAAGTGGCTGCAAAGGCCCACGGTGAGCCAGACCAAAGCCAGGAGCCAGGAGCTTCTTCTGGGCCTCCCACATGGCTACAGGGACCCAAGGACTTGGGCCATCTTCCACTGCTTTCCCAGGCGCATTAGCAGGGAGCTGGATTGGAAGTGCAGCAGCCAGGACTGGAACTAGCACCCATATGGGACGCCAGTGTCACAGGCAGTGGCTTTACTTGCTATGCCACCATGCTGGCCCCCTTAAATATTTTTTTAAAAAAATATAGTTGCAAAGGCTGTTCAACCCCAGCTAAAGGCAATCAAGTGCTATAGATGACAGTGCTGCTCACTTCCCACTCTATACTACTTAGGTTTCTTCAACTACTTAAGGGTAAACTTCTAGACATTGTTTCTAGAAATGGGGGTCCAAACTGATTTTGCCTATCAATATTATTGATGGCAGATCTGATGCTCTAAAAATATTTAGCAGAGAGGCTGGCATGGTAGCACTGTGAGTTAAGCGGCTGCATGTGATGCTGGCATTCCATAGGAGCACTGGCTCAAGTCCCAGCTGCTCCACTTCTGATTCACCTTCCTGTTAATGTGCCTGGAAGGCAGAGGAAGATGGCCCAAGAGCTTGGGTTCTTGCCACCATCGAATTCCTGGCTCCTGAGTCTGGCCTGGCTCACCCCTGCCTATTGCAGCCATTTGGGGAGTGAACCAAAGGATAGATCTATCTTTGTCTCTCCCTCTCTGTCACTCTGCCTTTCAAATAAATAAACTTAAAAAAAAAAGTCATTTAGAAGAAGCAAACACCCTTAATTATTCCGTTGTTTTGCACATCTTAACTTGACTCCTTCTTGTTTATACGTCTGCCTCTGCAGTGCATTTTCTAAGTTATGTGGATAGTTTAAGGAAAATGGAATGTGAAGATAATCAGCCTGGACTTATTTTTGTGACTGTGGATAGCGAGTATTTGACCGAACAACACTAAAGCTTTGGTCATGAGAATTCTGTCTTATGGTGGTATTTGGGACCATGAGAGAATAAAAATAGCAGGTTAGAAATCTGTATTTTCTTGGTTCCATTGAGGCTTTTTTGTTTGTTTTCCATTCAGTTCTAAACCAACGAGTATCCTTAGGACACAAAGATAACTCTCCTAGTTAAATTTAAGAAGTACTCATTTTTCTAGTCCCAAGGACAAATTATATGAAAACACCTACCTACATGTACTCTTTCCTAGAAATTCTTATAACCAAAATCCCAGTTCAAAGAAGATGTTGAATAGACCTAGGCAATCTTTAACTTATGATCTCAACATGGCATGTTAAGCCTTCTTTTTCTAGGATTTGGCAGAATGAGAAGTGGGTCAAATGACTTGTCCACCCAGCCACTTGCATAGTATTGTGAGATTGATTGATTAAAGTAGTTCAAGTGTTCTGTTTTAATACCTGGAACATGGTTTTTAACATCTCCCAAAATGGAGATTTTGTTGTTGTTTTTTAAAGATGTATTTATTTATCTATTTATTTGAAAGGCAGAATTACAGAAAGAGGGAGAGATCAATCTTCCATCAACTGGTTCACTCCCCAGATGGCTGCAACAGCCAAAGCAGGGCCAGGCCTAAGCCAGGAGCCTGGAATTTCATATCTCCCACATGGTTGGAAGGGGCCCAAGGACTTGGGTCATCTGCTGCTTTTCCAGGCACATTAGCAGGGAGCTGGATTAGAAATGGAGTAGCTGAGGCTTGAACCAGCACTCATATGGGATGCTGGTGTCACAGTTGGTGGCTTAACTTACTGTTCTGCAACACTGGCCCTGAGATTTTTTTTAAAAAAGATTTTATTTATTTGAGAGGCAGAGTTACGGGGCAGGGGGCTAGGGAGACAGAAAGGTCTTCCATGTGCTGGTTCACTCCCCAAATGGCCACAGAGCTGGAACTGGGTCAAGCCAAAACCAGAAGCCAGGAGCTTCTTCCAGGTCTCCCACGTGGGTGCAGGGGCCCAAGCACTCAGATCTTCCACTGCTTTCCCAGGCCATAAGCAGAGAGCTGGAATGGAAGAGGAGTAGCCAGGACATGGACCAGCATCCATAGGGGATGCTGGCACTGCACATGGAGCCTTAGCCTACTATGCCACAGTACTAGCCCCTGGCCCTGAGATTTTAAAAAATGTTTTATAGGCCGGCGCCACAGCTCAATGGGCTAATTCTCCGCCTGCGGCACCGGCACACTGGGTTCTAGTCCCAGTCGGGGCACCGGATTCTGTCCCGGTTGCCCCTCTTCCAGGCCAGCTCTCTGCTGTGGCCAGGGAGTGCAGTGGAGGATGGCCCAAGTCGTTGGGCCCTGTACCCCATGGGAGACCAGGAGAAGCACACCTGGCTCCTGGCTTCAGATCAGTGCGGTGCGCCGGCCGCAGTGTGCCAGCCACGGTGGCCATTGGAAGGTGAACCAACGGCAAAAGGAAGACCTTTCTCTCTGTCTCTCTCTCTCTCACTGTCCACTCAGCCTGTAAAAAAAAAAAAAAAAAAAAAAAAAAAAAAAAAAGTTTTATATACATGAAAAGCAGAGACAGACAAAAAGAGATCTTCCATCTGCTGGTTCACTCCAAATGCCCACAACAGCCAGGGCTGAGCCAGGCTGAAGCTGGGAGCCCAGAAATTAATCCAGATCTCCCATATGAACAGCAGGGACCCAAGTACTTGAGACATAACCAACTGCTTTCCAGGGTGGGCATCAGCAGGAAGTTGGATTAAAAGAAGAGATAGGACTTAGACCCAGACCCTCCAATATGGAATGGTTTCCCAAATGGCATCAACACCAAAGTGGAGATTTTTTTTTCTTTTTGATTTATTTATTTCAAAGGCAGAAAGGGACCTCTTATCTTCTGGTTCATTCCCCAAATGCCCACAAAAACCTGGGCTGGGCCAGGATGGAATTGGGAGCCAGGAACTCCATCCAGGTCTTCCATATGGATTGCAAGGGCCCAGCCACTTGAGCCATCACCTGCTGCTTCTGAGGGTGCACGTTTTCAGGAAGCTGGACTCTGGAGCAGAGCCAAGAATTAAAGCCAGGCACTTCCTTATGGGATGTGAGCATCGCAAGCAGCATCTTAACCACGAGGCCAAATGTTTGCTCCTAATTGGAATCCTTTAGCACCTACTCAAGATGAAGGGTACCTTGATACCTGCTACTTTATTTCTCTGTTGGCTTCCCAATCCTGTATTTCAGGTACACAAGTGGAGTCCAGAGGAGGCTGTAAGAGCCATCACCAAGATCCGGTCACACATCCACATCAGACCTGGCCAGTTGCAAGTTCTCAAAGAGTTCCATAAGATTACTTCAGAAGCAGCAAAGAATGAGACTGTGATACACCAATGACATGAAGTACATGGGTTAGAAGGAACTCAATACAGCCCAGCCCTGCTTAATATGGAATATAGTTTACCAGGACTGAAGGGGCTTAAGCCCATCCTTGACCTAACTGAAATCTACTAAGTAATGGATAATTTTGCTTTTGTCTTGTTTCACTTTCCTGAAATAACAATTGTATGGCTAGAAAGGAAGAAATTTAGTGTGGCTTGTATTCATGGGTTCTTGGTATAAGGACTGGGGTATCTTATTTTCTTGAATGGGATCAGAGAAATAATAATTTCAACAAAAATCTCTTGTGTACCTAACATTATGTAGAATGACATTTAGCACCGTAACTCAGGGATATTTAACACTAGGACAAGGAAGGCGAAATACTCAGCGTTAACTCTTTGCCACTGTCAGAATCCCAATTTCACTGGACCTGTGGGGCTCCTCTTACCCTTTTGGTCCTAGTATAGAAAAGGAAGTAAGGGATGCAGGCAGGGATGCTGTGGACCTATGTAGTTAGTTCCTCTTAGTCAGCCACCCCTTCAGAATTCAACAGACAGACATCTCCCTTCAAAAACTGTTTATTTATATGAACAGTTCCTAGCTCCTGATTTAGCATAGAGCTTTTAAAAGAGCAGAGACTTTATATATTTGAGTTTGAAAACGTTTCTGCTATTAACCAGAAATAACCCTTTCTACTTTCTGGCTCATCCCTTGGAGTACGCCAAAAATAAAGCCAAAGTTACATTTGTTGACAGCTGAGAAGACAACAGAAGGAACATCCTGAATTCGAGAGTTGACTTTTGCTGGTGAAGTACATCTTCAGCTTAGTCTCCCACCAAAGCCTGACGGAAAACTCTAAACCTAATTTTTTTGTGGAAAAATTATCAAATAGCCATTTCACAGGATATAGAAAAAAGCAGGATAGGGCAGCTTTTCTTGTGCCCTGGGTTCAGGGGCACTTCTATTTAACATTGACCGGGTAAAGAGACAAGGCTGTGCCTCAGGTCTGAGAAGAGGCTTGCTCCAAGCAATCTGCAGTGAGACCCAGGACGACCAGGGGATGACGGAGCACAGACTGGCCACCCTGCGGTTCCAGCAGCCAGCCGAGCAGCAGCAGTTGACAAGGCCCCAGACAACACGTCCATGGGTTCAGGGAAGGGCTGAGGTGCTACCTTTCTAATACATGCCCGCAAATAACATTACTCTGAGTGGGGGCTCAGGGGACTTCGAGTTCGGATGGGGTGGTGCTAGAAAAGGGGAGAGCGAAGCAGTCAGCAGCTCCCCCCACCCCCACACAGCCTAGGCCAACACAAACTGCAGATTAGTAAGCAGCACCTTGATGCCTCTCGTGACAGTCACAGCGGAAGTAGCAGGGTCAAGCTTGTAGGTGTTGGCATCCCCCTTTTTATACCGGTCCCGGAAGACATAGATGCTCCCGTTGCAGCTGGCAATCTTCCAGAGGGATGGGACAGAGCTCCAGGCCTCGGGGAGGCAGAGCCGGGTGAAGCTGTCTAGCAGGGGGTTGTAGCATACCAGGGAGTCCCCTTCAGCCACAATGAACACCAGATCCTTATGCACAGCTGCGTGCATGCGGCCTGCAAAGGGAAGCACATAGGGCTTCACGTGGCATTTGTCTGTCTCTGTGTCAAAGCACTGGATGAGACGGGAAGGTTTGGTGAAGAAGTCCAGGTCGTTCTCCTCCCCACCTAGTAAGTAGATGATCCCGTTGAGGTTGGCACCAGCAGCCCCGGACACAGCCACCTCTAGCTGGGTTGTCTCTGTCCACACATTGTCACCCACCCGGTAATAGATGACTGCGTTGGAGAGCGTGTCCTGCAGTGTCTTGCCACCCAAGGAGTATATGGCATCCTTCCCAGGCACAGACACCAGCGTGTGCTGCAGCCGGTCCCGGGGCAAAGGTGCACACCACTCCCAGTCGACGGTGGCATTGTTGCACTTCCACATGCGGCGCGGGATGGACCCTCCCACCACGTACAGGTCTCCACCATGCTTGCAGGCTGCAGTGATCTGGTGGCACAAGCTGTTTTGGCCACTTACACTGATGGAGTCATCTTCGGCACAGTGCAAGGACACAGCCAGGGAGTGGGTACGAGATGACTCTTTTCCAATCAGGTAAATGTGCACATTCTCCCCAATTTCCTGTGAGCGAAAGTAAACCATCAGTGAAGTTACGGTGAACTTGAGTGAAGATCAAGTTCAGCTGAGGAGCAAATCCTTCAGGTCCTGAACCTCACATCTGTGTCTTGCTCCAACCCACGCCCCTGCAGTTACTATGTGTCACCCTCACTCCATGAATCACTCTTTTTTTTTGGCATTTTATGCTGGGGCAGAGACTGGGGCTCATCCTTGCAGCTTGTTAGAAATTATCATAAGCTGGTGCTTCAGACACAGGGTTTAGAATTAACTCCAGGATGGAAAGTGGTTCTCTCAAGGAGCTTTGATACTCACAGACTGGTAGCTTTTAGGCTCACAAACACATCCTCTTCCCCAGCTCATAACACGTTCAAGCCAGAGATGACTTATTCAAAAGCCACCGAAGAGGCCAGGCCAACTGATGGCTGCAATCCATGGAGATCATGGCTTACCATCCTTAAGCAATCCACCTTACCTTCAAGCTGGTCCTCAGTGACTCTGCCAAAGCCTCTCTTTCCTCTTTATTAAAATTGATCCAGGCCTCTATTGCCTCTGTTGGGTTCTGGGAACATGGAACTCCATCTGTGAGAGCCAGGGAAAAGGCGTGGTCAATGACAGTCTGACAGGGAAACTTAGAGCAAGGAGCTCTAAATATGCATACCACTTTTTTGACTACCACTGTATGTACACACACACACACATATATATGGGAGACTAACTTAAAATTGCTTTAACATTTTTTTACTTTAAATTTTTTTAAAATTAACTTTTTTTTAGATTTTTATTTTATTTGAAAGTCAGTTACACAGATAGAGAAGGAGAGGCAGAGAGAGAGCGGTCTTCCATCTGCTGGTTCACTCCCTAATTGGCTGCATTGGCCAGAACTGCGCTGATCTGAAGGCAGGAGCCAGGAGCTTCTTCCAGGTCTCCCACGGGTGTGCAGGGGCCCAAGGGCTTGGGCCATTTTCTACTGCTTTCCCAGGCCACAGCAGAGAGCTGGATGGGAAGTGGAGCAGCCGGGATACAAACTGGCGCCCATATGGGATGCTGGCACTGCAGGTGAGGCTTTACCCGCTATGCCACAGTGCCTGCCCCTAAATTTTTTTAAAACAGGTTTATTTATTTGAAAGGAAGAGTAACAGAGAAAGAGGGAGAAACAGAAAGAGACCTTCTATCTGCTGGTTTACTCCCCAAATGACCACAACAGCAGGAGCTGGGCCAGGCCAAAGCCAGGAGCCTGGAACTCCCTGCTTTCCCAAGTACATTACCAGGGAGGTGGATCAGAAGAAAGTCAGCCAGGACTAGAACAGATACTCCAATATGCGATGCTGGTGTCATATGCAGTGGCTCAACCTGCTGTGCTACAATGCTAGCTCCTTAATTTTTTAATTTTTTTATTTTTTAATTTTTTCTTACAGGCAGAGTGGACAGTGAGAGAGACAGAGAGAAAGGTCTTCCTTTTTGCCATTGGTTCACCCTCCAATGGCCGCCAAGGCCGGCACACTGCGCTGATCCGAAGGCAGGAGCCAGGTGCTTCTCTTGGTCTCCCATGGGGTGCAGGGCCCAAGCACTTGGGCCATCCTCCACTGCATTCCCGGGCCATAGCAGAGAGCTGGCCTGGAAGAGGGGCAACCAGGACAGAATCCGGCGCCCTGGCCGGGATTAGAACCTGGTGTGCCGGCGCCGCCAGGCGGAGGATTAGCCTATTGAGCCGCAGTGCCGGCCCCCTTATTTTATTTTTTAAAAGCTTTATTCATTTATTTTAAGGACAGAGAGAGAGACCAAAAAAAAAAAAAAAAAAAAAGAGAGAGAGAGAGAGGTTTTTCCATCTGCTGGTTTATTTCCCAAATGCCTGCCAATATCCAGGCTGGATGAGGAACTCCACCCAGATCTCCCACATGGGTGGCAGGAACCCAAATATTTGGGCCATCATCTGATGTGCCTCTCAAATGCTGGGTTGGAAATACAGGTGGGATTCGAACCAGGTACTCCAAGATGAGATGTGGGCATCCCAGCAGCAGCTTAACCAGCAGCACAAGACCTACCCCTGCCCCATTTCTGAGCTCAGAATGATGATACAGTGGTGCCAGCACTGTGGTACAGTGGATTAAGCCACCACTTGTGACACTGGCTTCTCACATGAGCACTGGTTCGAGTCCTGGCTGCTCTACTTCCAAAGCAGCTCTCTGCTAATGCACCTGGGAAAGTAGCAGCAGATGGCCCGAGTACTTGGGCCCCTGCTACCTATATTAGAGAGCTGGGTGGAGTTCCAAGCTCCCTGGCTTTGGCCTGGCCCAGCCCTGGCTTTGCAAACATTTGGGGAGTGAACAAGCACATGGAAGGTCTTGCTGTCCTCTCTCTCTCCAACTCTGCCTTTCAAATAAATACATGTCGGTTTTGTTGTTTAATGATGACACGGTATGCTCCCATTTGCCAAGGAAGCAACCCATCAGGCTGCAGAGCTCACACTTAAAGCAGAGTTATATCTTACTTGTAGGGTATGATCGTTAACTAAAGTTGGTCTGTCACTAGTAAAGCTTTTTTTTTTTTTTTAATCTTTTTTTATTTTTATTTATTTATTTATTTATTTTTTTTTTGACAGGCAGAGTGGACAGTGAGAGAGAGAGACAGAGAGAGAAAGGTCTTCCTTTTGCCGTTGGTTCACCCTCCAATGGCCGCCGCTGCAGCCGGCGCACCGCGCTGATCCTGGCAGGAGCCAGGAGCCAGGTGCTTTTCCTGGTCTCCCATGGGGTGCAGGGCCCAAGCACCTGGGCCATCCTCCACTGCACTCCCTGGCCATAGCAGAGAGCTGGCCTGGAAGAGGGGCAACCGGGACAGAATCCGGCGCCCCAACCGGGACTAGAACCCGGTGTGCCGGCGCCGCAAGGTGGAGGATTAGCCTATTGAGCCACGGCGCCGGCTCAATAAAGCTTTTTTTTTTTTAAGATGTATTTATTTATTTGAAAGGCAGAGTGACAGAGAGGAAAAACAGAAAGAGAGCTTCCATCTACTGGTTCACTCCCCAAACAGCTGCAACAGCTGAGTCGGAGCCAGGCCAATGTCAGGAGCCAGGAACTCCATCCTGGCCTCCCACATGGGTGGCAGAGACCCAAGTACATGGGCCAACTAGTAAAGTGTCTTACTTTAGATATCCTACCTCATCAGCTTACTGAACTAATGGGCCCATAGATCTATGTACAATACAGGATAGATGAGAACAGTTGGTCACAGAAGAAATCAGCTCCTCACTACTGTTTGTGGGTCAAGTGCTGCTGCTTTTATTTTCCTGGCTTCCTCTTATATAAGGCACTCTGTCTGCAACAGCAGCTACCCTCAATCTCTGCTCAAGTCCTCCCAGGAGATGTCTAAATTCCTACCAGGAATAATAATGTCAACTAATACCGAGAAGCTGGGGGGTTTCTTTTTCCTGAATTTAAACACACACTGAACACCACAGCCAAGAAGCTGGGTGGCCCTTGCCTACACTTACCAGAGATAATATCAGTGAGCAGATGGTGAGGCAAGTGGAGAAATTCGTCTGTGCTCTGCAGCTGGGCCAGGTGGGTCTTGGCACAGTGCTTGGCTGCAGTGTAGAGCTCGGGATCGCTGTGCCGGTCGGCCAGCCACATCACCTGAAGGCAGTTTCCCACTTGTACCGTGCGGGCCAAGAACCGAGAACATTCCTCAAAGAGAGACGTCAGCTGATACATGTCTGACACCTCATAGATTTCCTGCAGCTCATCAGCTCGAAGTTTCACAGTCCCGTGGTAGATATAATCAACCAGGAGCTGGAACACAGACTCGCTGACATCCTGCAGCACGATCACCCGGTTGTGGGCCTCCTTCAGGTTGGAAGTAAACATAGACCGGAAGAAGCAGCTCTGAGCTGAAAGGACCAGCCGGTGGAGCTGAAACTCCCGGCCTTCCACGGAAATGGTGACATCAGCAAAGAGCTCCTCCTCCAGACACAGTTTCATGATGCCCTGAGCCACACGACCCGAGTGTGACCGGTCTTTGAAAGTGTAGTTCACAAAGTAGTTCTCATCCATGGACGCTCCGGGCTCCTCTGGTGATTCCATGGTAGCCAGCTTCTCTCTCTGCCAGCTGTCTGCAAAGCAACACCACCCCGGGTAACTTGGGGGAATTCACAGCCACAGTCTGTGAATCCAACTGTCCAAATGAGGCAGGGAGAAGGGAAAGGTGAGGGCAAAGTGGGTCCACACTGGCCTCAGTCCTGGCCCTGCGGATGATGCCCCTGACCCTCTCCTGCATCCAAAGCCAGGTTCTCTCTCCTGCGAAGGCATCCCTCCCCCAGTGAAATCAACCAAAGCTCCAACTCTGGGGGCTTCCTTGAGAAAATACGTAATATTCCTTTCATAATGTTAACAAAAGACAGGATTTAGGACCACACATAAAAGCTGGTGACCTTAAAAGCCTTACTAAGCAACCAACTCGAGCATAAAACTAGGGATCCTCGGGCAGCAGAACTACACAAAACAAGATCTACGTCCTTGTGGCCAAGTCACCTCTTGCCCTATGCATGGGGCCCAGACCCTCCAGTTTGAGGCTTGGCCCGGGACAGCCGTCAGCCCCACTCCTGCTGTTCTGAGCTTCTCCCCCACCCACTTCCCGGCCTGCCCTAATGACTTCCCAAGGCTCCGTCCCGGAACTCGAGACAGAGCCCAGCCGTCCCCAGCCCGGGGCACTAGGAGGTCCATCACCCAGTGCAGGGTCCCCACTCCACCTGGTGTCGCCAGGGAAACGGTCGCCAGGGAAACGGTTCTTCCCCCTCAGTCCCGCCTGCCCTCGTCAAAAGCTTAGGCTGGAGAGCGGGGGAGGGGTGTGGAACGTAGAACCCCGAACGCCCGCTCCTTCCCTCCCTTCACCCACCCAGGTCTTCAGCGTCCTCACCTTCTCTCCAGCCTCTGTCACACTGAGCTAAGGCTACGTCCACCTCACGGCTTTCCCACCTGTCCGTCGCGTTTTCTCACCTGCCTTCCCTCCTTTCATCCCGGTGCCCGGAATCCGGAACCCCTGCTTCCGGCCTCGAGTCCGCCCGGAAGAAGATCTGCTGCACACTTCCGCTTCCGGTCCGTGCCCTTGGGGCTCCGTGTCCTGCGAACCTTCCCTGGGCTAGTTGGTGGACATCCGGGCAACATGGCGGCAGTGGCGGCCAGGGGCTGGTGGCGCGGTCTCGTGAGGGCCGCCACGCTGGCCAGGGGTGAGCAGGGGGCAACAGGCTGAGGCCGGGTTTAAGAGGAGGGGCGCGCCCGGCGCGCTGAGCTCCTCACGCCTCACCCCGCGCGTCTGTGCCTTTTATCTGCCTGTGCAGGGACCGGGCGACCCTCGGTGCTGTTGCTGCCGGTGAGGAAGGAGAGCGCCGCGGCCGACACGCGCCGTGAGTATGTGCGGGCAGCGCTCTTCTCCGTCCCGCCGACGGGGACTGCTCACCGGGGTCCTTGCCTAGGGTGCCCTTCACCGCGTGCCCCTGGCGGATGCCTTCCTGTCCTTGGAAACCTGACTGCAGAAGCCAGCCGCGTCCGTGCCCTTAGACCCTTCTGTTACTGCCTGATTGTCCTTTGGCCACCTCCGTGACCCTGTTTCTCTGACTGAACTGCCAGCTCTTATGAAAGAGCAGGAAACCTAACTTCTGGGTCTGAGCCGTGAGATGCTAGCAGCTCCCGGTGTTTCCTCTGTGTCAGAGCTCCTCACTCGGCTTTTTAGTGAATGATCTTCTGTAGTCTTCATGTCATTCTTAGGATGTAGCTAGTAACTCCCCACACTGCAGACCCGGAGAGTGAAATTGCCCGGGTCACAGGCCTAGTGAGTGACAGAGCTGGCCCACCCAGCACTCTGCAGCTTGTCAGTGATTTAGGTCATTGCAGGGAGATCCTGTGTTGCAGTCAACATGATAAGCAGGCCGGGAGCTGGCAGACCTGGCATCCCCTCCTTTCTGGGTCTCCTTTGTCTCATACAAACAAAACAAACCCTGACCATTTCAAGAAATCATCTCTGAGGGCTCTTCAGCCCTAAAGTTCTTAGCTTGAGAACCTGGGATAAGGAGATACGGAAAAGCAAAAGTGTCGGTTCCTGTCCTCAGCTCCTGGTCTAGCAGGGGAGCTGAGATTGCGCCCTATGTCAGAGAGCTGTGGGCGTTCTGAAAGATGCCAACATCGCAGTTGCAGTGCTGAGTCCTGTGGACTGTGGTTGAGATGTTATTTCCCCACGTTCTCATGGCTTCCAGTCCCACCTTTCTCGAGGGTCTCCAGGGATCTCTGCTGGGACATGACGCCCCTTAGAAGCCCGAGAGACTGTGGAAGGCCGGCTGCGGCTCCCTCCGTTCCTTTGTTGACTGTGTCTTTTCTTTCCAGCCACTGTCAGACCACGGAATGACGTGGCCCACAAGCAACTCTCAGCTTTCGGGGAATATGTGGCTGAAATCCTGCCCAAGTATGTCCAGCACGTTCAGGTAATGCTGCTGTTGTGTGGGTCGGAGTACGGAAAAGCAGCAGCCTCGGTTCAAAGAACCAAAGCTCCCCAGACTTGGGCTGCTTTCTTGGCAGTAACTGGGTGACGGCAGCTGAAGTTAGCAGCTCCCTCGGTAAGTGTTTGTTCCGTCGTCTGCAGGTGTCCTGCTTCGATGAGTTGGAGATCTGTATTCATCCTGATGGCGTCATCCCAGTGCTGACCTTCCTCAGGGATCACACCAATGCGCAGTTCAAATCCCTGGCTGACTTGACAGCAGTGGACATCCCATCCCGGCAGAACCGTTTTGAGGTCAGTCGGCAGATTTGAGAAGGCAGGAAAGGGAACAGAACGGTTTCATGGTGACAGCTACGTAAAGGAAGTGTAGCCCCCCTAGTTTCAGTTCTGGTCCCGTAGAACTCGGCATAAGCCAGGCTTCTGAATCAGGTGGTGTGGATTCTGGCTGTGCCTGTAACGGATGTGATCTGGACGTCGGGTGTGATCTTCCTGAGCTTTGGCTGCCTCATCTGCAAACTAAATACAGAAAGTTGTGCCCCTCTTGCAGGGTGGCTGTGAGGATTGAATGATAGTGTAGGTAGATTGTTGGCACACAGCGAGTTCTCAGTATGTTCAGCTGTTAGGATTGTACTGACCATCTGCTGTTTGCCAGACCCTTGGAGCAGGAGAGAAATAACGGGGCTGGGAGTCGTCACAACAGATAAGCTGCCACTGGCCCCCTGGCATCCCGGATCAGTGTGTCTGGATCTGAGTCCTGGCTCTGCTCTCCATTCTGTCTTCCAGCCAGTGTGCACCCTGGGAGTCCTGAGGCACTTGGGTCCCTGCCATTTACGTAGGAAGCACCGGAAACCCAGGTTGAGTTCCTGACCCTGGCTGCGCAGGCATTTGAGCAGAGAACAAGTGATGGCAGAGATCCTTCTGTCTTTTTTTTTTAAATAATAAAATTGTAAGCGTAACATCTGTCCTTTAGGAGTCCCCACACTCTAATGAGGATAGAAGGCACAAACAGCCTATCGTAGATATATATCCAACACATGGGATGTTAGAAAGGTGCTTTAAGAACATAGGAGTGGGGGCTGGGTCCACTTTTTTTTTTTTTTTAAGATTTATTTAATTTAAAGAGTTACTGCAAGAGAAAGAGATCTTCCATCCGTTGGTTCACTCCCCAGGGTGACATGAACTGGCACCCATATGTGATGCCAGTGTTGCAGGTGGCAGCTTTACCTGCTGTGCCACAATGCCGGCACCCCAAACTACTCCACTTCTGATTCAGCTCCCTGCTGCTGTACCTGGAAAAGCAGTGGAGTGGGTGCCGGTTCGAATCCTGGCTGTTCCACTTCTGATCCAGCTCTCTGCTGTGGCCTGGGAAAGCAGTGGAAGATGGCCCAAGTGCTTGGGACTCCGTACCCACATGGGAGACCCAGAGGAAGCTCCTGGCTCTGGATTGACACAACTCCAACCTTTGCGGCCATTTGGGGAGTGAACCAGCAGATGGAAGACCTCTCTCCCTCCCTCTACTTCTGCTTCTCTGTAACTCTTCCTTTCAAATAAATAAACATTAAAAAAAAAAAAAGAAAAGAAAAGCAGTGGAAGATGGCCCAAATGCCTGGAGTCCTGCTATCCACGTGGCAGACCCCGCTGGAGTTCCCGGCTCCTGGTTTCAGGCCCGGCCCAGCCCCAGTCGTATTAGGACTGAACCAGGGGATGGAAGATCTCTTTCTCTATAACTTCCTTTCAAATAAGTAAATCTTAAAAAAAAAAAAAAAATGCAGACAGGCACTTAGTCCTCTCTGGGAGGCTTCTTTGAAGAGAATATGTCGACTCTCAACAGATGAGCAGGAGACCGGCAGTTAGCCTAGTAAGGGCTGGGGTGGTGCAGGCTGGGGCTCTCCAGGAGGGGACAGCACGAGCAGGTGGCCATGCTGACACGCTGCACTGCAGCCGCCTGCGCCTTCGGGAGTAGCCGTGCGCTGACAGGCATCATGAAATTCTGCAATTCAGAACAGAACGCGGGGTCACAGGGGCTGTCTAACCTGCCCTGTAGCCTCACAACTGATGCCGGCAGCAAGAAACCCTCAGCCTAGCCCCTCCCCCTGTGGCCCAGTTGCTCCTCCGCTTCCCTGTGTTCTCCCTAGATTGTCTACAACCTGCTGTCCCTGCGCTTCAACACTCGGATCCGGGTGAAGACCTATACAGATGAGCTGACGCCCGTGGATTCCGCTGTCCCCGTGCACAAGGCAGCCAACTGGTATGAGAGGGAGGTGAGTTCCTGCCCACGGGGGACCCTAACGCTGGCCCTGCGTTGTGGGATTGATTGACATTGCAGGATGCAGGTTGGCACGGCTGCTGTTGGCCCTGATGGACTCGTTGGCTGGGGGCCTCTCTTTTCCAGATCTGGGATATGTTTGGGGTCTTCTTTGCCAACCATCCTGACCTGAGAAGGATCCTGACAGATTATGGCTTCGAGGGCCATCCTTTCCGGAAAGACTTCCCGCTGTCTGGCTACGTTGAGGTAGGAGCCTTGGAACTGGGGCTGCAGCCTTAGGGACCCACGCACGGGGCACCTGAAGGACTCTGGGCACGGGGAATGGGGCCTGTGGATTGTGGTGGTCTTACATGGGCTCAGGATTCTAACGCTAACTTCAGTGTTGCAGTCGAAGGCGTAATTTGGTTAGGATTGAGTGTTCTCATCTCTAACACATGACCCATCGTGCACTTCACTCAGAGATCGATAACTCTCTTAGCCAGTAGATCTTAAACATGAAATGATACTTGTGATGCCTTGCATATTGTGAACGCCCAGCTGGTTAGTGGTGATTGTTTTAGTGATCAAGGCAGCCTCCAGGACAGTCTGTCGTTAGACCTGAAACTAGAGGATTACGTCACTGTGCTCTGGATCCGTGGGACAGGGAAGATGCTAAGTGTGCAGCCCTAAGAATGGCCGTGGAGGCAGGACCACCAGCCTGATCCTGCGGGTCGTCTGTGAGCAGGAGGACGGTCCGTCTTAGACGTGCACATGTGAACTTTACGGCGAGGTCGCTGTTTCAGTGTTGGACCGTGAGGCGCTCGCGTGCCCTGCTCCGTCAGTGCCCACACACTGCTGTTTTCTTGGTGCTCTGCACGTACTCGTGTCTCTCAAACTACTTCTGGGCAGGGCGACTTTGTTCTCTTCTTTTACTTCCCCCTGCTGTCTCCTTTTCCTGGTTCACCTCTTCACCCCAGTACACCCGAGAGTGCTTACTTATCCAGC